TTAATTTTTCCAGCAAGTTTAGAGCTAACAAAGTTGACTTACACAGAATTGCAGAAACTGAAGACGCCTGAAAAAAATTCCTGAGGATTATTCAGTATTCAGTACAGTGGGTAGGAAAGTTTGTTCTGCAGTTTGGAGTGGAATCCCTAGCTCCCCCAGTAAGAGTACCTACTGCTACCTCTAAAGCATGGTTGGATTAAATAAGCATCTGTGTGAAGGGCCCATTAGCTTCTCGCACACAAACAGCAAGTTCCTGCTACTAATAGGCAACTCTAACTCCAACTGAGGGCCACTCTAAGATTTTTCTCTGGAGACACCATCTGCAAGAAATCCAAGACAGGCCAAGATACGAATGCCCGTTTTTAACTTAAAGGCTGGGTTGCAAAGTCAAAGAAGTGACAGAGTTAGAAGTGCCCTCAAGTCATCTCATTTGGCATCTGGTGAATTACAACGCGTAAGCAATCCCCCCACCCCACCCCCCCGACAGTCTGACACTAACCGAAAAGCTGTAAACTGAGTCTGTGAAGAAGAGAGAGGCTTTGGGCAGTGGCCGTGACTCCTCATTCTGGGTGTGTGGGTTCAAATAACTGCTCCCACACTTAACTGTAAGGAAGTCACTTGGACGCCTTTGCCTCCGCTTTCCCCATCTGGAAAATGGGGCTAACACAAGCTACTCTCTCAGAGTTACCAAATGTGTGCAAAGGGCTCCGTTGCTGCCACCCAGCAGTGCCATCCAGGGACGACCACCTGCAGCAGCTCACATTCGGCGCCGGGCCGGCGGCGGTTCCTCCCGGAGGCAGAGAGGCAGCGGGCCCGAGCCCAGTAAGGGGCCACCCCGCTCTGCTCCGAGGAAGGCCATGGGGATTAAATCAACTAATCCAGGGAACGCGCTTCAAACAGCGCCTGGAGCCCCGTTAGCATTCCACACGCACTGGTGACGGTGATGGTGGTGATTACTGCTTAGAAGCCCCGGCCCCGCGCAGCGGAGTCCTCCCGGGCGGGATGGGCAGGCGCGAGAGTCCCAACGCCAGGTGATCGTCAGACCTTTCCCGCCTCTGGTATCTGTTGGCCACGAGCAAAAGCAACTTTTTATCAGTTTCGCGGCCGGGAGGAGAAGCCGCGAGCCGGCAGCCTTCCCGCCCAGGCCCCGCCGGGCGACCGCGCCCTCACCTTGCTGGAGATCCTGCTGGTCGTACCACGGCTCGTCCTCCTTCATCTCA